GCAAGGGACGGACCTCTACTTCACCTCAGGAAACGGAGGCTGAGGTGTGGCCTCCCTGGTCATGCTTTGGGCAAGTAGAGGCAAACTATCCAGTTCAGAACATCCTTCTCCACCGCATCCAGAGTCCAGCCTGGAATTTCATCACTATCATTACAAAGCAACAGGCTAGCATTACCATCCCCTGCAGAAGCTGACTGACTTCCAGGAAGGAAGGCCAGTGAATGCTATTCTTCTACGCTCACACTGAAGCCTCACAGGTCTGCAGGACCCTGCCTCCACCCTAGGACCTGCCTTGGTCTGAGCTGCTATTGGGCCGACAGGGTGACCCTACTTGAACACGTCCATTCGGCACCTGATTCAGTATTTGAGTTTTTAAGATATTCAGAAACAGACACAACAGAAAAACCATCTTTACTGACTCATTTAAAGAATTATTAGCTGGGGCTGGCTCTGTGGTTAAAAGCACTGGATGCTCTTCAAAAGAACTTGAGTTCGATTCCCAGCACCCACATGGCAGCTCAAAACCATCTGTAACTCCAATTCCAGGGACCCATTGTCCTCTTCTGGCCACCTTTGGCACCTGGTACCAACATGATACATAGACATATGAGGTGGTTTGACTAGGAAGGCCCTCCTATGGTTGAGGAGAGTCTTCTATGTGTTACTTTCATTGGTTAATAAAGAGACTGCCTTGGCCTTTTTGATAGGCTAGCCCTTAGCTACAGTACTCCCTACTGTGGAGTAGACAGAACAGAATTGTGGGAGAAAGAAAGCAGAGGCAGGTAGACGCCATGGTTCTCCTCTCTGAGATGGAGGTGGGTTAGAATCTTCCCGGTAAGCCACAACCTCGTGGTGATATACAGATTATTAGAAATGGGTTAATTAATATGTGAGAGTTAGCTAATAAGGGGCTGAAGACAATGGGCCAGGCAGTGTTTAAATGAATACAATTTGTGTGTAATTATTTCGGGGGTAAGCTAGCTGGGATCTGGGCAGGAACGCAGCCCGCCACTCCTGTTTACAGAGTGGTGCCCAACGTGGTAACTAAATCCACTTAAAAACCTGAGAGGGCTTAAAAAGAAGAGAGAGAGAGAGAGAATTTAACACAGCTTTTTGCTGTTTGCTAGAGTGTGCTGCAGAGAAATTTTCCTGACTCAGCAGCCTCAGCAGGAAAAAAACCTGTGCCAGTTTAAAACACGGCTTCCTGGGCCCTGCTTCTGGTGCAAACTCTGGCTATGGAGCATTTCTGGGCCCGGACGTTTGTGTGCCCACTCGGGGTCGGGAACAAAGTAGCTGAGACCATTCTAGTGGCTCAGCTCTTCCTGCCTGAGTAAGCAGTGGAATCAGGTCTACTAGAACGTGGCGGTTTTGAAATACCAGTTTCTGGGCTGTGCCACCATCGTGATCTCTGTCTGGCTTCTGTAGGAGACAGAGCTTTTGAATGGAACATTTGGAGTAAAGTGCTACGATTTGTTTGATGGCAACTAGACTCACTGTGTGCCTAAAAGGGGGTCATTGTGTGCTGCGGCTCAGAGGCACAAGCGCCTCCACCATGCTAGCAGTGCAATGTGCAAGGCTCAGAGGCAGGAGCGGCTCAGTCACGTTGGGCTGGGCGGGGCAAGCAGGCAGTACCTGTTTTTGACCTAGGAATGTCACAGCTTAGATTCTTAAGTGCTTAGTGATTTAAAACTGCAAAACAAAAATGTTCCTAGATAGTAGAAAAATTACAGATTCAGACATAAAAGACCTCTAAATGGGTCACAGTGTTGGATGAGTGTCCGTAGGCTTGGGAGAGAGAAGAAAAGGAATATAGAAAATAAAGTTAATGCCTTAAAAAAAAAAAGGGTAAAGTCTTTAAAGAGACAGATAAAGTAAAGTGATAGAGTAAAAATAAGCCACATAAAAATGGAAAATTCACAGAGAGTTTGGATTCTGTATATTGTGTTTTCTATGAATTTTTTTGACTGTAAAGGAGCTAAATACAGAGAGACATTTCATTGTGTGGGCTGCTAAGCTGATCCAACATGACTTACATGTTTAAATGTTCAGCCCATAGGGAATGGCATTAGAAGGAGGTGTCACCTTGTTGGAGTAGATATGGCCTTGCTGGAGGAAGTGTGCCACCGTGGAGGGAGATCTTGAGGTCTTATAGGTTCAAGCTATGCCCAGTGTGACACAGTTTCCTTCTGCTGCCTGCGGATCAAGATGTAGAACTCTCAGCTCCTTCTCCAGCATCATGTCTGCCTGCACACCATCACACTTCTTGCCGTGACAATAATGGGCTAAGCATCTGAACTATAAGCCAGCCCCAATGACATGTTTTCCTTTATAAGAGTGGCCACGGGCATGGTATCTCTGCACAGCAATAAAAACCTAAGACAACATACATGTAATCAAACAGTCATACACAGAAAAAAATATTAATTCATCAATTAAAAAGAACTATTAGCTGGTTGTGGTGGAATGTAACTGTAATCCTAGCACAAAGAAGCTGAGGCAGGAGGATGGAGCTTCTCCAGGTGCACCTCAAACCAAAACAAAAGCCCACAGCTTCTTAGAGGCTATAAGACTATACTGTCTACAACCCTAGATAGTTGCTTAAATCACGTCACATTTCATATACACAAAGGAAAAAACTCATGAACTGTATCTCCTACCGCCAACAGCATGCAATTAGACCATATCTGGAACCTCAGTTTCCTTGTTCACTGCTCTGAGGAAACCCAGGAGATGGGCATGGGGAAGGAAATGGGTTGTTGATATTGTTTGGCCCAGAAGGGGCGAGGACAGCTCCCAATCTCTACCTTGCCAACTGCAGCCTCACAAAGGCGGGAAAGTGCGCTTGTGTGGATTTAGCTGTAAACCTTAATTATCAGAGCTAGAAGTCTCCATCATGAGGGAGGAGTTCACACTGATGTCACTAATTATCCTCATCCCCCAAATGGAATTTTCTAGAGACGCTCCGATCCCCACTATGATCTCATAATGCCAGTGCCAGGCCTCATGGGCATCCAGGCAGCAGTCTTCCCCTGGGTTTGATTGCCAACTCATGATCTCACTCACATTCTGAGAAATTCCCAGAGCAAGGCAAGACTCGACTATTCCACTCCGCTTAGGGAGTTCCACACAACCTATGTCCAAATTCCCCCCTTTGCTTGTCTTAATCAGGTTACCAAAATTAACATTATCATCGAGTGGCAAACAGATCAAGACTTCTGACGTGACACTCCACGGGAGAGCAGGCTTACGTGGTACTCTAGCCAGATGTGTGTGCCTCGAACCCACCAGTCTGACAAACGTCATACCGGTAAACCAGAGGGACGGTGCTAACATCACCGGCTGCTGCTGAGGCTGAGGCACCACAGCCGGCTGACTGACACAGGAGACATGACTCAGCCGTCCTGGAGAGGGAGGACACGCGGGAAGGAAATGTCAGGATGTAATTAGAGAAAAAGTCTGAACTCCGGTTGAGCTGGCATAGTTACACGTGGAAATGTTTTTGCCCTTAAAAGCACTGAGTACCAAGAGGTAAAGGGGTAGCAAGCCAGAAGTGATGAGCCCGGTAGTCTCAGCAGGCAGGAGGGCTGAAACCCCAGTTTGAAGGCAGCCTGGGCAGTATGGGGAGACCCATCTCCAAAGAAAAGGACAGGGGACAAAGGAAGTCTTAAAACTGAGTGACAAGGAGACAGGCAACGAGACAGGCTGGGAAGAACTGCTTTACCGTGTGACCGAACGCTAGAAATTGGCAAATCTGAAAGGGGGAAAAAAGGAAAGGAAAGGCATTTTGGCTTGTTTTTTTTTTTTTTTTCATTTTCCCAGCTTTTATATTAAACAAACAAAGTGTCAGAAATAAAAGAAAATGAGATGGGGTAACTTACTTTAAACTCAGAGCCTGGCTCCTGAACTGACAAAGGGGGTCCCGAAAGGTCAGTGACCCCATCCTGGAAGTGTCCACTGAGAGAAACTGTTCATATGGAAGGGCCGGTGAAGCTTGTCAGTGCGCTCACATCCGGAGATGGGGAGGCAAAGGGGAGCCTTGAGTTGCTCTTAGGAGGCTAGTGTCCAATCCTGCATCCTTTGTTCCCCGCTGCCCCTTAGGCAGGTCCTTGCAGTGACAAGAGCAGATGGCCCTGTAGATATGACTACACTAGCCAGAAAGGAACAGGAAATGGGGGTGGGGAGGCTCTCTGCTTTAGGAGCTAACCTTCCTTCGGGAAGAAAAAAGAAGCGTCAGTCCCTCTGTGTTTGCTGGTCAGTTCCACCACACCCGAATGCCAGGGTGATCAGGGAGACAGGGAACCACTCCAGAGGGTCCACTGGCCACGAGTTCAGTGTGACTGAGCCAAACAAGAGCCACAGATTAAGTAAGGAAAACCAAGTTTGTTTGTTTTCCTGAGCTTTCCAGTGCTGTGTGATGTACATTTGAGCCAGTCACAGAGCTAAGGAAAGCACACACGGGAGGAAGCTACAGCCCATCTCTGGCTCCACAGCAAGCTGTCCCTCCTCTGTTTGTTTTGTGTGGAAACAATGTTTCTGGGTGGACCTAGTGTGCTGAGAAGTCCCTTGAGCCAGGAGAACCGAGGCAGAGATACATGCGCTGTGCTCCTGAGACTCTGTGGCTCACACAGCGGTTTTGAAAGCCAACACAGCCAACGCTGTGAAAGTTACAGGGACTGCAACCAGTTTTGTTTTAAACTTTTAGCAGGGATTCTCACCCCGCCCCAACCATCCTTCCTCCTTAATTGCTCAGAAAGGGGCAGGCTCCCATGGGCTTCAGCAAAGGACGGCATCAAGCTTAGCAAGGGGTCTTTAGACGGCAAGGTTTGCATCTATAACGTTTAGCAATAACTAAGGATTTCAGCTTTGGGTTCATTCTTGAAATACATTGACGAGTTTGGAGCTATTAATTTAACACAGCGAACTAACAGGAAATGCAAAGCCTCGAACAGACTGGAGCATAACAATGAAATCACCAAATATAAACCAGCAGGATGGCAAACGGGAGGTGAGTTCTCACGGCGGGTTCCAAGTCGGAAGCTAGAGCACTCTGCACTCTGCGTCAGCGACATCCAGAACCCAAGGCTCCAGAGGCAAGGTAGGGCTTGTCCCTCTGACCCAGGGCTCAGGCTACACTGTCAGCAAAGTCATGACAGAGGCAACATTCATTCTGAGTCAGCAGAGAAAAGATAATGAAAGTCTCTCTCTCTCCTCTCTCATTCCCATACAGACCGCCTGCCTGCCCAGGTCTCTTCCCAGGGCTTTCCTTGCTGTGTGGGTTGGAGATGGCTTCCTGGCCTCCTATCCTGTCTTACCTTGTTGAAAGTACCCTCAGCAAACATTCTGTCTCCCTTCTGGGTTGGCATGTCTTCTGCCACACACAGGAACACACACGATACCTGGCGTTTGTTGGTTCATCCACTCACTTGCCAATGGCTGGGCACCCATACCTGGAATAAGTCAGGGAACCAGAGACGCCAGCCCTCGTGTGGCTCATGAAACCCTACTGGCACTGGGTGGGCCAACACTCTTTTGGCACTAGCATTTGAATGCACCCCTCCAAAGTCATGTTGATACGTTACATCCACAGTGGGGGGCAAAGAGGGGCCTCCTGGCAGCCACTGGCTTCCACAAGCAGCAACAGCCCCAGCCAGAGGACATGTAAGCCGCCATGTTCCCAGCTATGATCAGAGCCTTCTGAAGCCCCCCAGGAAACTAAGTTAGGATTATTTTGTCTTTTCAGTCCTTCTGCTCCTTGAAGATGCAACATCCCTTACTCCCAGGGGTAAAGCAATGTCCCACATAGGAAGGACCAGGCCTCTTCCTGACTGAAGCCACCAGCATCTGACCTTAGACCTCCACGCCTGCAAAACTAGATGTGCTTAGTCTTGGCTCTTCCTCTGGGACAGGCTCAGGTGTCGTCTCTACAGCACACAGCACAGACAATTCAGAATTCCCAACAGGAGGGTCGCACGGGCTGTGTGAACAGGCGCAACAGAGCTCAGGCAGAGACCTGGCCCCTTGCTAGTGATGTCACTGTGGACAGTCACCATCTGTCTGGACCTCAGCTTCCCCAGCTAAACTGTGGGAGCAACAGCGCCTCCTGGGAAGCTGTCTGTGTGAAGAGAGCCATGGCAGCCAAATACCTCATAAAAGACAATAGCAGACAGCCAGTAACTAGCTGTGTCGTCCCAAGCCCAGCACTACTTGGGTGAGCCAGTAACATGCTGAGAGAAATAAGAGCTGGGGCTAAATTAAAGGGGCAGGGGCAAGTCATCAATAAGAGATGGGGAAGACACCGGGCTGTTTCCTGTCACTCCATATCCCCGACCCGTCACATTCTCTGATTTTGAAAATAGCACGGATACATAAAAGTATTTCTCCACCCTGGGAGAAGGGCAGTACTGTTTTGGTTTTCCATGCCAGTCAGGAGGGAGAGCCTGTGTTCTTTGTGCAGTAGCCGAAGACAGAAGGCAGGCAGGGCTGCATACAGGCTACCTCAGGACTCTACCATTAACCAACGCCGCACCCTGTTCTGATTCCTACCAGGCTGTGCAGGAGTCTTGGGCACACATGCAGCCAGACCTTGGCTGGTGTGGGCCACAGCAGGCCAAGTCCAGGCTCACATCAGTGCCCTCTGCACCATGCCCCTATAGCTAGAAAGGGTGGCTACTCTCTAGGCAATAAAGGCAGGGGGGATACTGGTCACATCACCCCCAGGGCCTTCTCATCCGACACTCTAGTTTCCAAAGTCCCAGGGGGAAGTCCTAGTCAGGAAGGAGATGTGTGTGGAACAACCAGAGGCCACCTCAGCCTCCGGACGACGTCCAGGTGACACGCATAACGACAGAGGATATAGTGTGATGTCACGCTCCTAGAGCAGGCCAGAGAAAGCCAGCTAACTTTCCTACTGTCTTCTGGTCACACAAAGACTTGTCAACACGTCCTGGACACAGAGTGTTCTCAGACACTCCAACGTGAGCCTGAGCTTGCGTTAGCAGACAAGAACTGGCGTGTGTTTGTGTTCTGGAAATGACCATAACTTTATTAAACTTCTGCCCAGTTAAAAATGGCCAGGCTTGTGCCCGTGCAAAGCAGATATGGGAGCTACAGGGTTTCCAGGTGGTAATCTTAGGGACATAAAATACTTTCTTAGAGTGAAATAAATAGGCGCCATACATCCTGATAAAGTTCAAGCACTAGTATCCCAAACATGCTGAGGCCCATGATCCATGGCAAGAATAGGTCACACATGATTTTCAAGACCAACTACCACCTCAAAGGTAGTTTTGACAAAAATAAACTGTACTTTAATTTATACTCCTGAGGAAAGTTTCTGTGTCCGCCATTAGCATGGACAGTTGGTGTCTGGACGTCTTGCCCACAAACAGTGCACTAAGAAAAACACCTGCCTACAGCCACATCAGGCAAGTTTTTTGCTCTGTACCTTGGCAACTCGGGGAGAGCATCTCTAGGTACAGGACCCCTCACAGCCCAGAGGGGAAAAGTCACTGCCCTGCCTTGAAATTGACAGAGCCGAACTGGGGCTAGCCTAGCCACTTTCATCAACCAGAAATAGCTAGAAGATCCAGATCCAGATAAACTCTAGGACCATTCAGCCATTGAGAAAAACCCTTCACCAGAACTGTGTTCTTCCGCCGCTTGCCACTAGAGGGTGCTGCTGTGCCACCGGCTTAAAATTCCACACGCTGGGAAAAATTTTCAAATACCAGCAAATCACATTTTCTTGGGCCGATTCTTTGTAATGAAACAGAATGTGACTCCCAAATAAGGCACGCAGGCTGTGGGTGTGCTGATTCATCCACACCCACACGAGTCCTTCCTAATGAAGTCCTTTCAAGTATTCAGGCTGGCCTCCTCAGCAACTTGCACACACCATGGCTCCTTTCCTGACCCCAACCCGGCAGGCACAGCATGGCTGAGGCCACACCAGAGGAATAATCGGAAGAAGACCATGATGGCAAAGTCCTCCTGCAGGCAAAACAAGGTCCCAGTAATACTTCATGGCTACTTCAGAACTAACGCTAAAGGACAAGTTAGTATTCACCTAGATCTAAACTCATTCACGACCTCCTCTGCTCAGAGCTCTGCTGAACCCTGGGCATGCGTCCGCTGGTATCAGAGCCTCTTTTTCTGAGGCACCTGGCCATTGGTCCTTTCTTGCCTGCCGCCCTTGGTATCGGACGGCTGCGCAAAGTTCCAGTCCACGGGGTTGAGAAGCTGTTGGGTCTTTTTGTGTGTCCAATAGGGGTTAATGATGAGTGTGAGCAGGGCCAGTCCACAGAGGAAGAGTGCGAAGTGAGGCAGGTAGAGGCTGTCGACGAGGGCGCCCCAGTGCTGGAAGCACACCCACCACATGTGGTAGGTGAGGATCATGCGGCAATGAAACATGTGGATCATCAGCCACTGGTTGACCTTCCAGAACAGGGAGTCTGACCAGCCAGCCTGTGGACAAGACAAACACCGTGTCAGTATGGGAGGCGAGAAGGTATGGGTGCCCTTCATGCGCCGTGAACTCAGTTCAAAGCAACAGGCTTCTTGCCAGCATCTGCTCTCCAGGGCTTAATTCTGAAGGAAGATGAGAGCCTGGGCCAGCGTCTCATCGGTGGGGCCTGCTCTGCTTACTTCCCGCTCCCTAAGGCAAGACTCAAATCTTTCTATCTTGAATTAGCTTGTATCATAGAGCAAATGGGTCCCTTTTATCTAGCAGCAGCGGGCACACACCCTGGAGCAGTCTGGATAGAAGGTACGTCCAGGTTCCTCTAGCTCATTCACCTCGGAGGGCATTGGATGAAGGCTAAAGTGGACTTTGTGTAACTCCATGCTCTGAACACATTAGTGAGTTTCTGCAGTTGGAGCTGAAGCTGAGCAGCACCCAAAGCCTTGCCATGGACAAAAGCCAAGTCCGGCCACCCCACATAGTCCAGGTGCTTCCCGGCAGCAGCCTTCGGGTCTCCTCAGACTGCCAACCCCAGACACAGACGTCCAGCTGCTCCCTCCCAGGATGAGACAGGACCCTGTCTGTACTCAGTGGCTAGGGATGGGCTGCTAGACTTGGGCTCAGCTGTGAGAGCAGGAAGCCAAGGGGAGGGCTACTATTTTGGAGGTAGGACCGCTGATCTGAGTGAAGGCTCGCTATGAGGCTATGTGACATCAGCTCCAGGTGGACCAGGAACTAACTTCTGAATCCAGCAAACTAACAAAAGAGAGTTGCTCTCACACGGCCATAAAAAGGCATGCACATGCTGACACACCTCGAAGGCTGAGAGCCACTGAGTTAAGAGATGGCCTTGTGAGTGTATGTATAATCACAAATAGATCGCTCCAGAACATTTTAAGTATCGAAGTAAAACAACAATGCTTTCTACGACATTATACTACTAGTGACTGAGTCCAAAGAGCCAATCATCTTTCTTTTAACTCCAAGACTTAAATTTGAGAAGATGGAATTTAACCAGATGTTGGCTTGCTGCCCAGCTGCCTCGCGGCTGGTCCCAGTGACACTCTGGTTAGTGTGGTACTGCCTGAGGCGCCCTGCTCTGAGGGTGGCCATGGCACTCACTCCCCCACCCCGGCTCCCCTCCCCCCGACCCTCACCCACCTTCAGGAGCATCCAGGAAATGCAGGTGAAGGGTGTGCTCATCTCCAGCAGTAGAGTGGTCATGGCCAGATAGTGGCCGGCTCTGAGATTCGCCACGGAACCCAGGAACCCAAGAAAGGCAAAGAGGTGGTGGACAACCAAAAACAAGTCGAACGTCCGGAAGCACAGGTTGGACAGGTGGACAGCCACATTCTCAAAGAGGAAGAATCCAGTGGCCGTGGCGACGTGAAACCAACACCAGTTCTGCTGCCCGAGAGCCTTGTCGGCGTGGAGCACGGGGTCCCCCAGCAGAGCCCACAGGCCGGCAGCCGTGCTCTGAACACCAAAGACTGCACGGGTAGCAGCCAGGTTCCAGAAGACCTTCTCTTTGGCCAGCAGAGAGCGGTAGGTGGCATTCAGGGAGGATGACAGCTGGTGGCAGACCACGAAGACGCCCAGGTAGAAGACAAAGCCAGCGACCGCCAGAGTCGAGCGAATCTTCCAGGAAGCATAGTCCAGGTCAAAAATACTCTCCGCCATGACATGGTTGCTTACAGGGGTCATGATTGATCTGGATGCCAGGGGTGTCCCTGGGCCAACACAGGGCTGCTGGGCCTGACACCGCCCCTCACTTTCAGTGAAGCCGTCTCAAGGATCTTCGGGTATCCATTCCCAATCTGAAGAAAGAAAGTTCACCTCAGAAGAAGCAGGAAAACAAAAAGCACCATGGCTTCCTTCCCACGCATGGTCTGCACACCTTTACCCCATCAAAGGACAATGTGTGGGGAGTGTTTAAGTTCTACCTCACTTTGATGCTTGCAGACATACACAAGCCCTGCAAGAGACCTACAGACAGCATAAGAGAAGGAACTAGGCTGACCCAGAGATGCTCAGTCACGAAGGGAGGCAGACACGCTCTGACTCGGAAATGGGCTGTGCTCTTCCCACAGAACTCGAGTCTCAGCCCTTGCCTTTGCAGCAGTCCAGTCATAAGCTACATAATCCACAATCCCAGACACTGGAATACACTCTGCTGAGTCACTTCACCTCCAGAGTCTGAGATAAGAACCTTTCTTTCACGCTCTGTGTTTGGGAGAGCTGTTAATAAAAACACCATGATCTCTGCCAAGTCCATGGGCATGGGGCCAGGGAAACACCTGGGTTCCAATTCTACTCCTGCCTGTACTGGCCATGTGACCTTTAGACACGGGACTTGGTTTCCCCAGAAGGAGAGCACGCCATGAGCACTGGAGAGTAGAGGATGCTGCGGGTCTGAGGCAATGTGTGGTATGTGGTACAGGCTGGGGTTCCCTAATGTGGAACATCCTGAGAGTTCACTTCCTGAAATGGCTGTGCATTTGTTTTAGAGTTCACATCAACAGCCTGACCTGTGGTGTTTTTCAAGACTCTAGTCGAGCTTCCAGAGTAAGCCGGAACTCCTGCTGCTGGGACCCACCAGTGTTTGGGTATGACCCGCTTCCTTTCCCGGGCCCTGACCTCAAACGCTCTGCGCCTTTGTTCCACGCTCCGGCTCTCAAGCTCCGAGTTCCACCTTCTCTGCAGATGCCCTGTCCCTGGGCCCGACCAGCCATCTTCAATCCACCTGTTTCAAATGCTCTCTAGTCTTGAGAAGCACCCTGCGCTGGGCCAAATGCCCTCCAGACAAACTCGCGTGCCCTCTGGGCCCACACCTGAGCTGCACTCTAGTCTTAGTCCCAGCCAGCACCACGGAAGCCCTCGGAGGTGGAAGCCCAACCTGTCCATCTTTAAAACCCAGATGCCTGGTACAATGGCTGACAGACACGAAATACTTGCAGAAGGCATGCAGATTCGAAATTGTGCTTAAATGGTGAGAGGTACCTAAACTGGATCTGCTTTGTGAAACCGTAAACATGAGAGGGTCAAGGCTGGAGGAAATCATGAGACCTGACCAGTTCACCAGTCACCGCAGGCCAGTCCTACTGCAAGCAGGACAAACCCTGACCCTACTTCCTCAGGGGCGGGGTGCCTTGGGGGAAGGAGGCAGAACAGGGCAGGGCTCTGCACTCATCAACCATGAGGCAACTGGGCACAGTACTAGAGCACCACATCAGCCTCCTACACTAACTCACTCATCTGTAGCCACAGAAAGCACCAGAACACAAGGTTTGTGGGCTTGAGTGTCAGGGTGGCCCCAAAGGACAAAGGAACCCCTGGCCATTATGCTCTTAGCTTGGCACGACGACGTCCTGGAAGTGCTGGTTTTCCCCTTACTTTAACACAGGATGCAGTTATGTGGGCACAACTCGCACACCCATGTGTCCCCTCTGATCCCTGGAGCCCCGTGTCACTGTCCTGATGTGTGTTTCCGGACACACGGAAACGTTCTCTGGAGAGGACAACCCAGAGGCTGTTCTGTACGCAGCCTACACCTGGGGCTCATGCCTCCTCGGCTTGTAGCAACACTCAACTATTCCACGTTTCTGATGACTCCAAAAGCTACTCTCACTGAAACAAAATGGAACACGCTCCTACACGGCTGGGGTACCTGGCTTGCTAAGGCTCTTCTGAGAATGAAGGCTGGCTTTGAACTCCTGATGCCCCCGCAATCCTAACTGAGTACTGTATACCTCCTAACCCAGGCACATTCATGCCTAGTAGAAGGCTAGGAAGGAAGGCAGATCTTCTTCCTGGACCTGGAGTAAA